AGCGGTCATTTTAATCAATGATAATCTGCAATCATTCCTTATTTATCCCACTGATATGAAACATGTAGAGTATATAGACGTGATTTTTATAGGATGAGCAACCCAGCCAGCCGCCCTCAGGGAGTTCATTGACCGTACAAAGTCATTTGTATTCTGCTGCAATTCGGGAAAATCAGAAATATAGCCATTGGATAGTGACAGGCAATTCACTATTCACTTAAGCTGGATTGTTCATCACAACTCGAATAGCGCTATACTCCTGTGTGTTAGCACTTTTAAGGAGGAGCCGACGGGGTCTGTTCTTCAATACAACTGTTCTGGTACGAGAGTCTTTTCCTGGCCAAAGGGATTTTTGAGCTGCATTGTTGACAACCTCACCAGCAAATGTTTCGCCCTTCCTTTTATAACATAATTTTGTTCCTGGCAAACTTCAAAAAAGGTAATAAAAAAAGGCTCATATAACGTTTTTATGGTCAAAAACGGCATATTTCTTTTTAGCTAGGAAAGTTTTGTTTTCCTGGAAAAATTGTTTTAGAAAGTATTCCTTGCCTGGAGAATTCTTTCTTCCTTAAGGGCAACCAGTTGTGACTTACAGCTGGCTGTGACATAAGAACAGATATATTTTTCCCAACAACCCGTCGGTTCCTCCTAACTTTTAAAAACCTATGTATAGTAAACCCTTGAATAGATTACCCTACATTAATTACCCTGGATTAATTAGACCAGAATGTTCCTGAATGCGGACACAAGGGACTTTTAGTCAATAGTTACACTTGACTATCTTGGAGGACATTGCTACTTACAACACTGTGAACGCTACTTCCTGAAGCTTCACATCGGACAAAAAGAACACGAGGCTCTCTGCGAGTATTCCCAGCCCTCCTCACGAAAAAAGATGGGAGAGAGAAACCACTTTGGCTGCCATTGTTGTCACCTTCTCCACGCGGTCTAAGTGAGCGATCAGTTTGAGCTTGAAGTGAGTCGTATTCCTGGTTGCTTGGTAGCGGTTGTTTTATCTTGAGTAAAGCCAACACATCTGCTCGAAATCTACAGAAAAGAACAATGAGTTAAAACACGATTGCTAAAACTATTATCCCATTGATGAAGTGCTTGTCAATGGCGTGAATTATTAACAAAAGCATCAGTTTTTATTGTCATATAGTTTTAGTAGGTCTTATTTACAATAGCAGTCCTGCTTGTTTCTTTATTAAATATTGTAATGCAAATTATCCATTCGGTAATCAAGGGCGGCGCAAATGTTTATTGACGGGAAGACCACATAGATAATTTGCATTACAACATGATAACCATTATATCTTGAATTCAGATTCGGTTGTTGTTCATCAATGCCTCCAGGATATCATACATATTCTTTAAAACGTGTTGTACTCCATTATTGTAAAGAATTGTGATTGTCGGAGTGAATTAATGCGGAATCGAACCCATGACCCTCTGCGATGCCGTTGCAGTGMTCTACCAACTGAGCTTTGAAGCCAACCATGTTGTCGAGCGGTCATTYTATTAGGTGAACCGATACATACATAGTAGTAACAAATGATGGAATTGTTTGAACTGCATCCAGTGAATAAATGTGTAGTTGAAACCATCATTTCATCACTACATTATTTGCGTGAAAAGATAAGRGATTTTYAAGCCTTCATGAAATCAGAACCATTTTCTATCCAAGAGAAACCCTTGGCTATCGTGCACGCAGACACCTTTCGTTTTCCAGCAAATCTATTATTTGTCATCTTGAAATATAAGTTGTCAGGAGATCAGCCTGGAGACAAGTAGGCCAATCGAGTTTCATAGCTAACGCGATTACTTAAACTAATGCTAGGTTTCACTGCATAGATCAAAAGATAATCCTCATKGTCSTACAATCCAGGCTGAGAAAGTGTAAGCTGTGTCGACGATACTAATGAAAAAAGATGAATTACGCGCAGCATAGATTCAGTACCAGGGATWATGRAMTGTAAAAGGATCTAACTTCCTATACGCATCGGACGTTAATGTCTGTRAAACATCAGGAGGATTTTCATCCGGCTTTACGATYTATTGATTTACATGCATAATTCATAYGATTTTATCGAGAAACTGTAAGAATTCTCCAGCTGTAGCTTTACAATTTTAAAATTTTAKGATCCACAGCTKAGGATAAGCTCCGTGAGAAATGAACTCTGAGAATCTTCCAATTTTACCCTAAAGGGCTTTACATGAAATATCGATATATCTTAGTTTGACATAAGTGAAGACACTGGTCATTTGGGTTTTAGTTAATCACCTAAATTTCCGCTATTTTAAATGGCACTTCTTCAGGTAGTTAAAATGTCAAAAGATTGTCATTAATTTCGATTACAGAGAAGTCCAGTTAGATTATAAGCAGGTGATATAATAACGAATCATCGTTGTCTTCACCTTCAGATTCTAATTTATAACTGCATGTGTTGTGAAGATTTATCGATCTTATTTGTGTTCGTGTTGTGGCTTATAATCTATTTGTTTTATGTATTTAAGTCATGTCAATAATCTTAAGTTTGTCATAATAGCGAGATAAAATCTTAAGACTAATAAAAGCCAATTGAACGGCTAGGAGTAATTGGAAACAAGAAAAAACGAATACGGCTAACAGTATAAAATCAAGAATATACAAACATACCTTGGGTTGACTAGTGCATATAYAAAAGGATTGTATAGAATGCTTGATTTAGCCACAAGACACGCAATTAATCCCGTCTTGGTATCAATCAGATGCGATCCTCCGAAAGCTGAAATGAGAGCATAARCRCAATATGGCAACCAAGTGATCGTAAATGCTACGATTGCCAAACCAGACATTTTGCTGATGTTACGAAAACCTTCCAGTTGCCTCTGCGCGCTTGAAAATCGAGAGACTGTTTTGAGATGTTCATTAATTGCTTTGTTGATTTTCCAATGGTAAACGCTTGCTATTGAAACTGGTATAATGTACGACAAAARAGTTAAAAATAATATGTATACAAGGTCTGGTGTGTCCTCGGCCTTCCAATTTGGTGCGCAACTCATATCSGCAGCTTCCTTGATCGTTCTTGTCCAACCTGCTAAAGGAGGTAGCATGCCAAGAATTGAGTACARCCAAATCAATGATATAAATTTGTACTCCACCAAGTTGCGATTGTTTGGCGATGGCTTAGATAATCCACGTGAAACRAGAGTATTATATATTTTAACTGTTATGCAAGTCATCGTGGCGATCATCGATATGGCAGCTATACCACCTAGAAAACCTACTACACGACACGCAGCATCGTTGAAAGCCCACTCATTGACAATGGATGAAGCCAACGTCGATGGAAAACTTCCCACTATCATAACCATGTTTGCTGCTACTACATTGATCAAATATGGCGTTAAGGACTTGGACTTGAGATCGGTAGATCGTATGAGGACTAGGAAAGTAACTATTTGAATAGACCCTCCAAATAGTATAAGAAAACACATATATGTTGAGATAAGTTGGTATCCAGTCGCTGAAAGTCGGTCCATGACCGCATCAAGCTTTGAAATCGTCACTTATTCAGGGACTTGCGCGGTTATTTGATTAAACCTCCTCGCCTTTCGAGSGAAGTAAGGTGACGGGTGCAGTGGAGTGAGTGATGCTTCTCTTYCGTGTTGAAGAATAACCCATAAAAGTGAATAGCTTCAGTAAGAAAAAATGCATTAGCTCTTACCATTAGATCTTAGCAAATGTCAAGCGCATATAATTAAATACCTTTTTTTAAATCGAACACGTTGATTAGCGGGAAATGGCTTTTATCCTGGAGACGGATCATTGTGGGACTGATGAGACAAAATGACAATTACTATGCAAATCTATGTTTTAAGGTAAAAAAAATAATTGCCACGAATTTAAACGATTTGATTCGACTTACTGCGCGCGTGTCTCTCTCCTCTGATATAAACACGGGGGTTGAAAAACACGAGARAAGACAGCTACAGAGCGTAGCGTTTTATAGTTCTTTTATAAAATTTTTCTGCGTCTTTCGAGCGAAAAACGAATTTTGCCGGTAAGCCGTGTCTCTGTAATCTGATATAAACACGGTCGTCAGCCAATCAGAGCGCRCGTTATATATCAAAATTTAGATAGATAGATATGCATGAGGAAAGATTAACGCTATTTCACAGATCGAAAAATGCGTAAAATCGTGCTCGAAGACTGRCGTAATTCTTCCGTTGCTGTAGAAAGAGGGATGATATGAAACCGAGGCAATGCATAAATCTATTGTCCACAACACCATATCGCCAAACATGTTACAAACTCAAAGTCTTAAAGTTTAAACCTAAGTAGCTTAGCTAATTCAGAGATGGATTGTCTATTGGATAACAGATAGCCTATGAAGCTTGAGACCATGCAACCGGAATATTTTGTATTAAGAAATAAAATTAAATTGTGTTGCAAAGACAGCCAATGGCCGACTTTTTTTAGGTCAGCATTATGGAAAAACGCCAACCCCCCATTTGTAAGGCAGCCTACGGGACTGTGTGTCAGAAAAAATTCTGACTTTGAACGGGATTCGAACCCACGACCTTTGCGTTACCGGTGCAATGCCCTACCAACTGAGCAATCAAAGCATTGCACCGGTAACGCAAAGGTCTTGGGTTCGAATCCCGTTCAAAGTCAGAATTTTTTTCTGGCTTCTTTTTCAGTAGTAAGGCTGCATTCGCAATTTTAGTTTTGTTACTGATTGGCGATGTATAACATTACTAACAATATCAAGGTAATTTTCAAACTCAAAACAACCCTTTTTTTGCAATATGTAGTTTCCCACCATTATTTCCTTTTTGTATCTGATTGTCAAAATAAAGAGTCGATAAAGAGAATATCGAGTATATAATTTAGATTTAATGGTGCAGTTCAAAACTGTTAAATCGTTAAGTGATTTTAAATCACACTATAAAGAATATAATTGTGATTACTTTAATTTGCATTCAATATTTGGCCGCGCTTTTCCAACAAGAGTGGAATCAAATGAAGTATCACTAACACGCATCCAATACTTTACCACCAGAGTTGATATAGTATTACATGGGCGAGCGGAGATACGGATTTTATCTTCGAGTGTTGAAAAGATGTTTATATATGATAAAATGTTATTAAAGCGCAAAATCCGGATTTTTTTCCACATCTTTTTCCAGAAGGTCTTTCTTTCTATGTAAGGTCTTATCTCACCATGATCCAATTAGATTCTGCCCGGTCTCCGGCATCCGTTCCTTCTTGTCCTTCTTGTCGATCTTTGACAAATGTTCTGGCCGTGAGGAGACTAGATCGAGTGTTAAGAAGTCAAAACGAGGCAGGTAAACAATAATAATAAAATTTCTGACGTAACGCAATACCAGAGTTGAACGAGAGTCATCTAAAAAGATGGCCACGAAAATCTAGTCAATAACCATGAATTTTGTAGAAATCTCGGACTATATTAAACAAAAATAATAGAGGAACCTTCCTATTTCAGGCTTGGGAGCTTTTGAGCTCGTACAAATGTCTTTGGAAGGTGGAAGTCGTCGTGTTTCGCGAGCTGGCGGACTGGTGGTTCGACCACAACCGATTAGGTCAGTATAACTTTAATATCAACTTTTCAAAAGGGATTTTGAATAATTTTAGCGCCATTTTGAAGTACTTAAATGGTCTTGATTTCCCACACAGCGACAAGTCTTATGTGGAGAGTGTGGTAAGCTTTCTACACGACGTTGTACCTCAAGTCCAGGTGAGTCTCTTGAAGAGGATCATCGATACATAACGTCATAACGAGAGAAGTTTATTTTGAGTAGTGTTTCAGCATAAAGTTTACATCAAATGCTGTGATGTTCATAATTTTTCTTAATACAATTCTTAAAGTGTTCAAATATCACTTCAGTAGAGGTAAACTTTAGAGTCCTGTAACATTGGCGTTTCCCCAAACTGTTTTCGTCATGTTATGCTATCAGCTGATTTTCGTGGTTTTAAGTCTTAAATACATCATGAGAATCTTTGTAAATGGCATTCAGTTTGTATTGATGAACTGGAAGCATGACATGCATTGTTTGAATAAGATTTTAGTCTATTCAAAAGTTTTAAGGAAAAAAAGATCTTGCTTTCAGTTCAAAGTATACTTGTAGCTTTAGTTTTTGCCTTCATTGTTGTGTTTTTCTTTTGTATAGCACAAGTTTTTCGTTTTATCCTTAAAGCTTTTACAAAGAGTAAAAATTCCCCAACATTTCCATACAGTAACTTATGTATCTGATCATTTCTATCTTTCTTTTCATTTTCCTAATTCATCTCAGATGAGAGAACTGGGAATAGGAATATTCAAAAACATATTTTGTGCAATTTATTATAATATTAACCATCATCCCCTAATTAAGATTATTTTACCAAAGTTTTAAGGTTATTGTTGGAAAAGTTGATCAAATAATTTACTTTGAAACTGAGAGGACCAATTAACCAGATTTTATGTTACTCCAAAAAGGAATTTTGTTTTCATATTTTATTCAATATTTTGTTTGTTTTGATTGGTTGGGAGCTATCAATCATTTCTCCATGACATGGTATATGTGTACCATATGTTGCCTTTAATTAATAGTTCGAGGTGTCAGCTAGAGAACTAGGACTAATTACAAGGACTCAAAATCTAGTCTTGTCCAAATGAGGGCATTGATACAACTTCTATAAATTTGAAGTGGAAAAAAGTGCCTGCATTTCATGTCAGTCATAATGAGCTTAATTAAATTCATAAGATATTTAAAAACTATAAATTATGTCAGAAACTGTTGTACATTTCATATAAACTGCATATTGATTCTTGTGAGGCAGAATATCTAGATAATATACTTAAGTTGACTATTTAGGTAGTTCAATGCAGGACTGCGTCAGCTTTCAAAAAAATGCAACTTTTTTAGCATTTATTAGAATTTTCCCTGCATACTTATCATACTGAATCATCAAAATATCGAATTTTCATACTAAGAAAAATGGCCAAGAACTTCATATCCAGGTATCTAGGTTTGCAGGAACATACATGATACTTTGTTCAGGAGGCAAGAGACAAGATGGCTTCTTAGCCTGATCATTTTAGAGGTCAACGTACCATGCACAAAGTACCATGGAACTCTTGAGTTAAAAAAAGAGTATTTTGGATGTTTTGTCAAAGTGAGCTTGAACTGCAAAACGTTCTAAACTCAWGTTACAATAATCTTCGTTTAAATATAATCAAATTTGATTCACAATGGGTTTTAACATTTTGTAGGTATTTTCCTCAAATCAATACAAAGTTCATTATGCAATTACAACACATGGAACAATTAAATAGTTGAAATTTGTGTAATGTACATGTGAGACTGCTCTGAGCTTAAAAACTGGGCTTAAACACCCCACAGCAACAAAAGTTCTTTGATAACTTGTAAGACGTATTTTATAACAAACATATTGGCACAGAGCCAACACATGAAGCCAAAACAGAGCCAACACATTTGAAAATTGATGGCACCCACTTTTGCCAGTCCATTCCAAGTACCTTATTTTTTAAGCAACAGTTAAACAATACTTACGGTCTTCATAGATTAACGATTGACAAACAACACTCCCAGAATTAACATCCCTGGGCACAAAGTCTAGACCTTGCTCTCATTTTGAAATTCAAAATGGCAACCAGTGAATTAATTCACCAATCAGAGAATTGAATTAATCTCTCAACCAATCAAAAACAGATCGAGCAATGGATGAAATTGATGAAATATATTTTCAAATAATTCTTCAATTGTTGAACTATTTTACTGGTTATGTATCAAGAATCTGCAATATAGTTCTAGCATCACCTCACTTTATGTCTGAAATCTGAATAGACATTGTAATTATGCCATTTATTAAAAATTCCAAAATTGCATTACATGAATTGCATTTATATGCAATTTATAGACTCATTTTAGAAATGGTAAACAACATGGCATCACATRTGACCATATTTAGCATGTGACTTCAAGTCCTGGAGCAAGGTGTAACAGACTTTGTACCCAGAGGTCTCATTTTGGGCAGCAAGGAATGAGCCACAGAGTAAACATGGGTTTCCTAGGATGACTTGGACTTTGAAATTATCACATATTGACTTTGAATGTAATATTTTGCAAACATGTTTGTAATGAAAATGTTTTTCTTTTTTGGTGATTTTTCATCTAGGCTGTTACTGGAAGCCAAAGAACAGAGGACAAAGAAAGAGTTTTGTGGATGAAATTTGAGAAGACAGATATTGAAGGTATAGTTTATAATAAGCTGCTGCAATTATAGTTTTAAACTTTTGAACTTTCTAAACATTTCCTTCCTTCAAACTATCAGACTATTAACGCATGCCTTTTTGGCATTCTGTASAATGTCAAGAATATGTTTTATACAAGCAAACTGTTGGCGACTTTGACCACTGACCAGATGAACAAAGTAATAAAAGTGTTGTTGTTTTATTAAATAGATGAATGTTGCCACAAGGAAAATGATTGCAGTACTGCTTGCCCCATCCTTCTTGTCTTGGGCTACACAAATGGCTTCCAAATATGGACAATTCCAGTAAGTTGACACCATTGGATTGACTAGTAGACTGTATTGATAATTCTAATCTTATTGATACTTGTTGATTCTTCTGTGCAAAATTGATTTATTTTTTAACYGAGCTCGGTTAAAAAATAAATCAATTTTGCACAGAAGAATCAACAAGTATCAATAATAATATGCCTGTGTACGACGAAATTCTTAAATTCTAATCTTGTTTTATGGTAGTCCATTGGTGATGCTCATGAGGTACTGTCACTGCGTCAAGGTCCTGTCAGGCTCGTCAAGATGGTACAAACACCAAAAAACCAAGGTAAAAATTGAAAATTAAATATGTTCTTTTGCAAGATATGATATAATTGATATGTTAGTGTCACAAATATTATTTTTTGGGTTATCTACAGTGTACAATAAAATTTAACAATTATTAGCTACATGTAGCTCATGAGTGTGTACTGATGTGCATGTTTAGGAAAGAAAGATGAATTTGCTGCCAGTAGACCACTTTTTGCCATTTGTGATGCTGCAAGGTATGGAATATTGCTATCAGCCAAACAATAATGTATATTATTTCATTTTGTTTTAGCAATAGTCCTGTCTTCAACTATTTCCTCTCTTTACCTATTCCAGGGTSAATAGAGCTACAGGTGAAAGGTTCATGTACAAATGTATTATTAATATTAAATAGATATCCCTTCGTCCACAGCCCTTCACTGCCTTTTTCTACCGTCAATTTGTGGTCCTTAACTACTGGAGAACAAGTTCATTCCATTGGTTTTAAGACAGAGGTTCATGACATCCTTAGCAATAAAAGGTTTGTCTGTCCATCAGTGTCTGTATGATAGAGTTTCCTGACTGTAACTTAATATTTGATTAATTCCTTTRTTAGGTTGATGGTTGTGGCTTTGCAGGAGAAGATTGCAGCATTTGATGCTTGTTCAATGGCTAGTCTTTTTTGTATCATGAGTAAGTCTACAGTGAGCTTCATTAATTACCAGAACTTTTAATAGGATTCTATTCTGTGGTCAATGTTCTCTGCTATGGCAATTCCAACTCACTAATTTCTGCTATAGTTTTCATAGGAATTTTAGACTATTGAAAAATGTCAAAGCATGGCATATGATGAATTTTACTTTAACATATACAGGTTGTTTTCCTGCTCCAAGTCCAAACTTGAACCCACTTGCTCTTGGTGAAAGATGGCTTGCTTATGCTGACTGCAAGGTAAAGAAAATTCTTTTAATTTTCTGCAGTCAAAGGCAAAGCATACAGCAATTAAAATAAGTTAMTGAACTAAAATGTCTTTTTTCTGTGCAGCTTGTACCTAACCATCAATCCTGTGGGGGGATGTCTAGTGATAATGCGCAGTCATATGCAGCCACTGTCATTAATGCTGCCAAGGTTTGTTGAACATGCTAAAGGCTGATTTCATCAACACAACTTGTTGCTTTGCRTCGTGGTGCTCGCAACAGAAGTATACTGTTTTAAATTTCTATAGGACTAAATGCTTGAGAACTGACAACTTGTCTCGAGGTTTTGAAATTATCCTCAAAATCCCATGACATGTTGTAATGACATGTTGTAATGACATGTTGTAATGACATGTTGTAATGAAATGTTGTAATGAAATGTTGTAATGACATAGAGATGAAGAGCAACAATTATGTCATATATGAAACTGTACATCAGAATTTTCTAAAGTCCATATTATTAACACTTTGTTAATCGGTTAATAATTGTTTATTACAGACTTTGACAAGAGGACTTACTATGTTTGGTAAGTAATTATTATATTTAATTTATGATGTGTTGACATTTGCAAGAAAAAATAAATTATGTTTATCAATTGTTCTGTGAATGATAGGTTTCCATTTAGAAGAAATTCTAACCTTTGTCAAACAAGCTGATYTAATGTTTATTTTCCCAGGTGAAACGGTTGGTCGTTGGACGTCATCGTATCCMAATGAGATTGCTAATGACCACACAACACATGTGAGTAATTCACTTGCCATAGAAAATATTGAACATTATCATGACAATATATTTGATGATGGGTCCATTAATTATCTAAGGCTATCTTACTGTGTCTTACTGATTATTGTGTAATATCAACAACCGTAGTTCCCGCTTTCAGTGTGTCATTCTCTCTGTCATGTACAGTACTGTAATCATGTAGTTAATGTTATCAACTCCTGTTCTGACTGTAGAAGGGTAAAGTGGTGGTGCCAGGAATAGTCACAATCGTTGATATTCCAGCTGTTGGTTGTGGAGAGGCAAATCGTACAGTAAGTTGATTTACCATTCGTTTGAATTATATACATGTACATGATGCTGGGTCAGTCCATAAGTTGTTTTAGTAACTGTTACATTCCTTGTGTTAATAGTTCTGTGTCCAGGAAGACGACCATGAAGGAAACGGAATTGTTGCTCATTTTCCAGCGCATGCAGGACAGCCTGTATCGGCGATGGCTTTCGATCCAAGGTATTCTGTAGTAATAGAGCGGATTTCGTATGAGTGGGACACCGTTACCGCACGGTTACCGCACAGTTACCGGACCTGGCCTTCACAATTTTGGTGAACGAATGGGGCACTAGAATTTGGTTACAGTACGATTACGGTCACAGTACAGTACCGTCCGTTTCCCACCCATACGAAATCCGTTCTAAGAAGAGTATAACTTCATAATTGTAGCGCAGTGGTTAAATCAATGCGAGCTTTGTCGATGTTTCTTATGCAACAATAGTGATAAAACCTGCTGACCTTTGAGTGCGAACGTTTCTATTTGTCTTTTATGCTGTATTAATATTAAGTAGTTCTCTATTTTGAGCTTTACAACACTAAGTGCCATATTACCTGTAAGTGTAAACATCTATGTGTGTTTTGCAGTGGTTCTCTGCTGGTTACTGCCGACGCTCTGGGACATAATTTTCATGTTTTTCATATCATGGCTCATCCTGTTTGTCCATCACTTGGMGCTGTCCATCATCTTTACACGTTACACCGAGGAGACACTACAGCTACTGTAAGTACATGGGATCCCTGTGGTTAAGTTAACATCAGCCGCAAATAATTTGATATTTCTATGGCTTGTAGGTCTACAATATATCGTTCTCGTATGATAGTCGATGGATTGCTGTGTCTACTTTGCGTGGAACAACACATTTATTCGCAATCAACCCATACGGTGGTAAGTCACCCGGCATCCTTTACGAGAGAAATCTATACCATGATTCTTTGCGCGATTGCGTATTGTTCTTTGAAATGTTAAAATGTGAATAAAATACTCCACATAAGCAGTAAATTGTACATTACCTTTTTATAGATTAGTCTTTAGTCTTCTGTAGCTATTTATTTATTATATATCGTAAAGATCCTGTATATATGTGTAGCATTTGACATATTATAGTTCAGTGTTTTCATGACCAAACAGCTTTCGTATGGGCTGGAGACGGACTGTAACAAAATTTRTATATCTATAGCTATGCACACTTTTTTACGACTTTGGACTAATGCTGATACCGTACATTGGCAACAGCTCATACWAAAACTACTCCTGAAACCCTCTGTTTGTATTATATGTATTTTTTTAGTAGTGAAGGCCGATACTTATGCGAAATCTCCCTGTATWATATTTATTGGCTTGTTTTTATGTAACGAGTATTGTTACGTTATGTTTCTGATGATCGTCATTAATGRCATCTCTTTTGATTGTTKTGTATTCAGGTTCTGTCAATGTTCGTACACATCTTACTAGTCGCGTCGTCAATCGAAGTAGTCGTTTTCAYACATCTGCTGGCTTAGATGACATGGAAATCCACACTACCATCTCGTCAGGACGGAGTAGTCCTGGTAACGTGCAAACCAGCGGTGGTTCACCAAATRGTAGTCCGCACACAAGCACTTCGTTATCAAGAGACAAYCTTACWGTTCCTGGCGCCGGTAATAATTGCCTTATGAACGCCCGTCTCCCTCCCCTCCCGCACCCTTACGTTATGTACCCCCTGTCTCAGATAAGAACGCCAACAGGAGCTCGATGTAGTGGTACATGTTGCGGGGGAACAACTGCAGGAAAGTGCAATGGCAAATCGCCGACAGACTCGCTTGGTGTTGCTGCCATCTTTGCAGTTTCTAGAGGATGGTTAGGGGGTAGTGCATCGAGATCCGAGCCTCACCGACAGCCTGTGGTTGATCCTTTGTTTATACTTGATGTCCATGGTAACCTAACTGAGTACACCCTGGAACCCCAAGGAATAAAAAGCACTTCTCATGGCAACGAATCACCGCTGGAACTAAGTGCAACATCGAGGGCTCAATGGTGCCTTGCTAGGTAAGCTGTGTGCAATGCAGAGGAAATTCTGATAGAAACTTCTAAATACGAGTTATTTGCGCTATAACTCGACTAGACAATACAAAAGTCTCAACGTAAACTGAGAAATAGGCTGCTGCCAATGGAAAATAGTCGAATGTTTCGATGCTCAATGGTTTTGATATGATGGCAATTCACGTTGCGGCGATATTCACTTGGCTTACGGTAAACGGCGGTAAATATCATTTGATACTAATGATGTTGTTTTGATAGATCACCTAACTGGCAGGATAATAAAGGTCCATTGCAAGCGAATCATCCCTTATTAGAATGGAGGACGTCACGTAAACCACACACTAAGAATGAAGGTATGATTAATGATACACTATATGAAATGTGAATGGACGGATAGAAGAGCGTTTCTCTCGTTTCTTTATTGCTTTACAAACCAAAACTGATAGTACGATTTATTACAGAGCATCTGTCGTCTACAGTGGAGGAAGCCAAGTGGAGTAAATCACAGAAGAACGAACGAGACGATGAATGGCTGACTAACATCGAAATGGAAACGCACGCAGCACCACATCGACGTCTATGGATGGGACCGCAATTTTCATTCAAAACATTTCAACCCCCTGGATCATCACCTAATAGCTCCTCTTTKTCCCTTAACGACCCAAAATGTCCCTCTAGTGCAACAATAACCCCATATCGTGAAGGACACCCGCTGGACTTCTACACAGAAGAACTAGATTTACAAAGTCTCCGTCTACAGCCTGTCAAATCTGATCCTATGGCTACCCCAGGAGGGGAGGAAAATGGTTCGACGGGACCTTACCCTCTCATTGTTGACAACGGTCCAGGAAGTTTCAGCGAGCCGTGGCCTTGTATGATTAATGGATCGGTCGAGGATAAGGAAGGACAGTTAGTGGAAACGCTGTTAGACGCAATGAACGACAACGCTACAATGCCCATCAAGGCTGATAARAAACGTTCCTATCCTMTYTTTGGTAATGGTGATCAATTGGAATTTCATTCAGATTCGCCGGGGGGTAGTGTTAATGCTTTTGCATCGTACAATTCGTCTGATCACAGCCCGATATTTCCACCTAATGGTTCACCCGAGTGGTCATAGGGATATCTACTCGTGTCCATCAACCTTTATTGGGTATAACCATCTCTTTACACCATTTAAACCATTATACCATATCTATTTTCCCATTTCAAATTTCGTGCTTTGTTGAAGGTCATGTATCGATAGATTTGCGGTAACCAATTTGATTCGATTATCSTTGAAATATAACTAATCATCGCTTGCGTTATTTAGAAATGGAGAAAATCGTTTTTACAACCGATTATTATTGGTTAATTTTCCAGTCATTTCTCTATGCTTTATTCTAGAGAGGACAATAACCTGTAGATATGTTCATATGTTCATGATTTGTTGCTTGTCTTGTTTTTTKGCGTGTGCTAAAGAGTGATATATAAAGAAGTAATTTTACGTACGTACTGTTCTTCAGGAGAAAATTTTTGTTTTCTCTCTGCATTTCATGATAGAAAAATAAATCTTTGTAAAGACGGTTATGCTAACGTACGAGAGCGAAGAGGTTTTTTCTAACGATCAACACTGTAGCAGCTTGTATGCTAGACTTCAACGACCCATTATTCCACTCATAAAACCTCAYTAGAKCCTTTGGGCTTAACTACAAACCTAAACTAAATTATGTCATAATATATATTGAATTTATTTAACTGGTTACATAAAGCCAACCTATTTTTCAATACAGTTTATACTATTATACAGAAGGTAGTTCTCTCACCCCTCCCCTAAAGAGAAATATTCAGTTTTCCTAGTCGAGGGAGTTGAGGTGTAGTACGATTTAACTTAACCCAGAATGTAAAATAAACACATGAAAAMGTTCTCAACAAAATCACATAAAAATTGTAAAGATGAAAAAAATTATTATAAAAATGCATATACTGAAATTTTATGTAATATTTACAGAAGAAATAGAGTGGTTTCATAAAACCGTGAAATCGATACTAGACCAATACACTAGTCCCTRGACTATGTAATTTGACTATAGTAGATGTTTCACGGGTTTTTGTTATTAATGCTCTGTCGATTCTACAGTTGGATATTAATTGAACTGATGGACAAGTATTTACATGCGTGCTGTTAATGTTCAGTTAGATGCCAACTTTTAGTGATAAACAGAACTTTGATATGTGGGAAATACCAACAACAAACAAAAAGGATTTAACGAAAATGAAGTGTTTTACCACCAGTTTGTATGGTTGAGTTTTATTAATTTTATAGCTGTACTATGACAAAATTATCATTAAAAATCTTGGAATTCTTGTTCGTCTTTATTCTTCTTTAATCTCAAAAAAGTCCGAAGTAATACTGTCCGAAATAAAATTGTTCCACAAGGTTGTATACACAATCACGGCACTTCGAAATTTTCGATTGTCATTTAGTCATTTCGATTCGGAACACTGCCGTGCAGTCGAAAAATCTCAAAGTGTCAAACTTGCCATACAAACCTGTCGAACAGTACTATTTTCGGACTGTTACCATTTCTCTTGTTGTATTACTTGAAAAAGTTGTTCTGACGTTTAGTTTTTTTGACACTCGGTCAGGCTTCCTAACCGTTTAAACACTCCGAATGTTATAACAATTTTCAGCCCGAGATCAGATTGGATTATCTGTGTTGACCACAGGGAGTGGTGATGGGTMGAAGTGAGGAACACTAATCCCCCAACTTTAAATCCCCGCCGTCCCTGTGATAAGTGTCCAGCCGGGTTCATGGCTTAATGGTGACGTCATAAATATTTATAAATTCTTTATTGTACTTTCCTATTAAAATGTTATATGGCATACAGAAGAACGTATACTGTATTTTAAAAACCTATTCTAAATTTCAGTTATTTATTACAATTATGAATGAAATCATAAGATTTCTTGATATACATTGCTCCCTAAAAAGATTTTGGAAAAATACTTTGTACAAGATAATATTATATTAAGTTTTAGTTGAAAAAAAATTTACAATGTGTGTAATCTCCAAGTAGCTGTTGTAGTGTCGGTCTTCCTGTCTCTCCCTCTCCTGGCACAGGAATCCCGACAAATGAAGTGATTAACACCATTCTTCRTCCTCCTCCTCTTCCTCGTCGTCTTTGCTGAAATCCAATCATAACATGCATTATTATAAGAAGAAAGCTAGAAAGGAAATGATATACACAGAGAAAAAAAACATGAAGAAGCAAAAAGATATCCTCCAGCCAAAAGATCCTGTACAATCATGACCGTTTGCGTTTTATAAGAATTCATTAACCATATGTGTTCATTATTTTTTTGTTTTTTGTTTACCTTGTAATTATAGATCTGTGGAGTGTTCTCAAAAGAGTAGGGTCTTTGTCCTTGATGATGGTCAACAAACGACTTAAGTTTTTTCTTTGCTCTTCCTGATCTCTGAATTTGGCTTCCATTTTTTTCATAGCTTCCGTCTAGAAAACAAAGCATGATGTCCAATATTAATTATCTTGACGTCGGCTACTTCTTATGATCGATTATCACGTGTCGGTTTATATCAAACCTCGTGTGCCCTACAACTTATCATAAAACATCTGGTATTGCACGGCCTGATTTACTAATAAAGAATCTTATGTATGAGCGGATGCAAAGATGATTTTCAAATTGACGGCCATATCCGCTTGAGATATTCTATAAAATAATGCTTGGTAAAGGTAAAATTCGGCGTTGTAATGGGTCTGACTAGTTATACGTAGTTATATGTAGTGTATTATAGAAAACGGACTAAACCAAAAACCCCACCAACAATGCAGTAACCTAACATGTTTTACCATTGCTTTAATCTTTTTGTCCATTTCGTCGATCTTGCCATCTTTWTGCTTTATAATACCTTCCTTCAAACTCAGCTCTTTGGATAGACACTAAACAAAATGAAAAATGCAGTTAAAAGAAAGGTGCTATAATCTAATTTTGAAGCTTTAATACCTTTTCAGCTTCCTGGGCTTGGACAAGTGTCTGCTGAAATGCTGCAGTTTCTTTGGCTTCATAACGCAACGTTTCCAGACTACGACGCATATCATCAAGCTCAGTTACTTTTTCTTGTAGCACTCTGTTTTGTTTTCTTAACTTTTCAGTCTCTGCAACTTCTTCTCTCAAAGTCATTTTTTGTCTGTCTGCTTCATCTAAGCGTRATTGTATTTGTTGTTTTTCTGCTTCACAGATACTCAACCGCAGCTTCAAATCATCCAATTCACCTTGGTTTATCCTTAAATTGTCAGCGTCGCGAAGTTGTGAGCTTAATCTAATAATATTTCTTTTCATGTCTTCCATTTCTTTAGTTTTTACAAGTAAAGACTGGTTTTCTTGTCGTAAGCCGTCAAGCAGTTTTGCGCTTTTCTCGAGGAGTTGATTTCTGCGCTGTAAATCATCGCATTTACGTTTGAGCTGACGATTTTCATTTTCCAGTATCTCAAGTTCTAGCTTTATTTTATCAAATTGCTCGTTGTTAGAATATAACTTTTGCTGCGTTGCGTTCTTCATCTCTCGAAGCTCAGCCTGCAAAGATTGTTTTTCGTCTTGCAATTGTCTTACTTGTGTCTCTAACTGTTTATCTACTATGCTACTGGTTTGACAGCTCTGCTGAAGAGTTTCAAAATCTCTTTGAAGTTCAGTTAAACTTTCCATCTTATTCTGAAGTTCTTCAAGTTCTTTTTCTTTATTGTTGAGTTCCGAGTTCCGTACATACAACCTTTCAATTTCTCTATTTCGTTCACGAAGTTCATCATCTCTACTATTAATGGAAGTTTCCATTTCTGTTAAAGTTTTTTCAAACTGGTCCGCTAACTCTTTCGCTTCATTGTTCTTTTCGCTTAGCTCTAAACACGTATTTCTCAGCGACTSTAGCTCCTTGTCTTTCTGTAACTGTTCATGGTTTTCTTTCTCAAGCAAACTAGTTTGCAACTTTTCTAATTCTTCTTCTCTTTCCACGAGCTCACTGTTTCTCATTCGCCAAACAAGGAGCTCATTTTCTTTCTCCAAAAGGTCATCTCTTTCCTTTTTAAGTTCCTCAATTTCTTTTTCTTTCGCAAGTAATTCTTCATCTTTCTTTTTCAGTTCTTCCAAATATTTTTCTAACTGAAATGATTGTGCTCTGCTTCTTTCTGTAGTAATATTAGGAGCCTGCTGGCTAGAAATGCTATCTTGTACTTCCATCACGACCTCATCGAGTTCCTTGCTGGTGGCGGGAAAGTCTGCTTCCTCGCTGGTGTTGTCAAGATGGTCCGTTGAGTCTGTGTCGTACCCATCTCTTAAGGAAGAAACATTCGAATGTGTGCGTGGAAGTTCAGTGATCAGCTCCGAGCATTCTTCAGATAGTGCCGCTTGTACCCTAGAAAGAGGAAATGCTTACAATCAAGAAAACGTAATAATAAAATCGTGTGTGAAGCCTGTGTGAACGATAATATGTCTCTCCTTATGCTCATCTGCACCAAATGCAACCGTCGGCCTTTGGACCGAAAGGAGAAGACCAGTGTGCATTCAATGATAGATCCCTTCTTCTATGCGTCTCCACAGGTTTCTATCATTGCAACTGAAATCACTAGTTGTCTCACTTCGATGCAAGGACATAGCTGTTTACCTTTAAAGATGTCACGAAGCATGAACAAGACTATTTGTGAATTGTCGTCAAAAATAACGAAATGTAATCAGTGCAGACGGGTATGAAACTGATGTACATGGGACTGTCAGATCGACATGGCTCCCGTTATATGCAGATGTCATCATGTAATTACATTGGGCACACCAACTAACTTTCTTTACTCAAAATCAAAACGAAAACTCTCAGTGAATGCTCGAAATAAGTATTTCTCAGTTCGCAAACTCGTTCTGAGGCCAAGGGAAAAGACCAGGAAATTTTAATTTTAATTCAAGTTTTTTTTTCGCTAAAATTTTCAAGTACCTTTGAGGCTGAATGTTGACTACAGGGGGAGTCACACGTTTCCTTACTAATCGAAACACGTGATCAGGCTCACTCCATGCTTTCTGAAGATGTAGAGGACACACGTGATCCACGACAACCCGTCTATCGTCTAAAGAGAGCAAGCAAAAGCATATTCGGTTATTGTTATGTTTTCCACGATATGCTCCTTTGTAAGTTGTGCTGTGATAGCTGCTCATGAATATTGGATGTTCCTCAAAGTGTCTTCGTTTGCTTTTCGGAAAACCCAGTTTCCGTGGCAACTATGACACTAGATATTATTTTTAAAAACATACTCCATTCCTTCATATTATTTTCCCGCGTCCTGTAGTCTAAATGTTTACCTTCATTATCTTCTGACACTTCCATCAGTTGGTATTCGTCTATTTGTCCAGGAAGGTCGTACTTTTTAACAATCAACGGAAGGACGTCTCTACATGGGGTCTTGGACGAGACGGCAATAGAACGGTAGTCCAGATCGCCTTCGTATCCCCCCATCTCAAAAAGCATCTGTTATTGGCATAAAAATGTATGATATTCACATCCTACCATATCAACACAGCTGCCTACATAGATGTGGAAGTTTTTCTACGAATTATACAATTCTTGATTTAAGCTTAAGTGGAAAAGCGACAAAAAAGCACTTGTTCGCATTATTGATGATCAACAATGATCTAGGAAAATGCGACCTTTAGCTGCTATCTTACCCCACTTGATGCACTGAAAACGTTTCGAAGTGCTGCCCTTTAGCAATTCAACGAAGACAGGATTCACACAWTTATTTCCAAAATTTGTACATTCAAATGCAGCACTTCTTGTGTATGCAAACCTACCTTTACAGATCCTTCATCACGACACCTCATCTCAAACYGGAACTTCTCAGGGTCGTTCCATCGACATTGCCAYGTGAGCGGACAGTCATTGTCTCCCAAGTCTTGGTCTACACCTGTGATAAGCCAGACGATGACATGATGTTACGGGTTAATTATTTTTAAAAATGTGGTACGCATAAATTAACAACTAACCTCCTTTACCAAGACCAACTTGACATAAATAATAGCGGAGAGGATCCGCCACAACATCGTACTTCTCAAGAACCATGCGAACGACCTGGGCACTAGTAGTCGTCATCGATATCATAAAACTGCAATACTTGGTTTGTCCAGATAATGACGTCGGCCACACCCTAAGAATACCCTGTGGGCCCGCCTGTAAAAGGTACTGCATTGCGGGATTGAATTTCTTTGATCCAAACACCTTGGTCAGTTTGGAAGAAGTATGTCCGATGGACAGTGACTCCCAGAACTTAGAGAAGCTGTAAAGGATTAAACTTTGCTGAGTCTGTGCAAAGACATGTTCTAAATAACTTCTCTAATTAAATTAGACGTATAGACCGAGGCCTTRCTTGTGACATCAAAGAATCGTCTGTACGATATTTTCCGTGTTTTACCTTACATCCAATATCAAAGTCAATACTTTTACCTTTTTTTCTGCTTTTTGATGCCTTTCTCTTTTTTCTTCATTTTGTCCTTTGCCTTCTTACTTTCCTTGTCTTTAGATAGTTTCTTGGATGCCTTTTCGTTGTTCTGGGACTAAGAAGGCAACACATTGAAACATTTCACCATCAATTTCATGCATATCTTTGTAACAACGCCAACATTCTTGTTTAGGGAAGTCAAGAAAACCTCACAAAACCAAATAAAAATAAAAAAATGGCGAAYACTTAACACTTCGCAAATGAAAGAACAARCCCGATTATACGCCCTGCATGRCATAAAGTTCGGCTATAAAGAGTTGTTATGTACAATGCTTTGCTAATGGTTTCACTTACAGTTGTCTTTCCATGCGATTGTCCATGAGGCACTTTATCTGATAGATGCAAATCAGAATGTTGAGAGTGACTTGGTGTGACCCCTGTGCTGCCCTTGTGACTATACTCGTCACTTGCAGCAACACTGCTTGTCATAGACGCCGAATCAGACGACAAATGACACCCCTGATCACTGTCTTGTTCGTTTACAGCAGGGAATTCCATCGACTTGTTCAGTGTTGGCGAGCGCAAAGCCGTTAACACGGCCAATATCTTTTCTTTGTCTTGTTCTGACGCTGTTTCTAACGCGTCTAGACAACGTAAAAAATGATAAGATGTATTAATACGACATCTTTTGAAAGGGGAGCATAAAAAATAACCAAATGCGCCACTCTGCCGATAACCCCGAGTAGTTACCTTGGATTTCAGCCTCTAAATGCTCTTCTTCGCTTGGGTTATCCAACTCGTAAATTTCAGCCAAGACAAGTTCTCTCTCGTCAGGAGCACTAATACCAATTTCCTCTGCAAAGAACAATATCCATTTTAAATTAAATATATTTCTACTCTCTATATATTAATAACAACTCTTGCTTACCTAGGAGTTGGAAGTTGATGTTTTTAAGCGTTCGACCATTGACATGGTGAGCTAATGATGAAATAAAATATCGAACTAAAATTTGAAGTTGCAACTTGGGAATACAATACGTGATTTTTCTCTACCTTTGAACTGCTCCTTAAAGTGCCCCAGACCGACGTATTTCAACCATTCCAGAGCGTCTTCTTCTGTCCAGTCTACTAATGGTATTTTGTGAAAAGGCATAACCTTTTTCTAAGAAACGAATGAATGAAATTATATTAATCAACAATTAATGAACAAATTTATGAATAAATTAGTCGTCGACATAACAAATTAAAGTCGAATAACGCACAAATTTACAATCCGAGACTTCATGTCAGTGATTCCCCTAAGCATCGTCCTCGTTTCAGTTTTGTGTTGTGCATTGCGACTATTACGCAATATTAGAATATCGAAAGCGGGCTTTCCAAACATCAATTGAATTTACTGTAATTCTAGAGTATAATATCTATGCATTTGAAATTTCAATATTTCTTTTTCGGTTTAAAAAATGATTTACCATCTCGATAGACGCCTGACTTCGCTATTTCTAGAATAATGAGTATGAAAATAAAAAGCTCAAATGAAATAATCATGATTTTTATAACAACTTACAGAGTGTCATTGGATTGTATATTTTCCGGTTCTTTGTGACTCTCGGTCCGTGTTTTCCCGCCATTTTTTCCCTGTTCGCACGCGCGCGCGCAGTCTAGTCTCTACAAGACTCGTTTGTGGAGAACAATACGAAGTGGTTTTACGAAAAATGCTTACTAAGTCCATAATTTTATGCGTACTTTCTTTTTGAAATATTATAACTAGTTAAACATAGACTGAACACAAGTTGAACATACGGTTTGCACAGGAGATATTGGCAAAGGAGGAGGTGGGACATCKWCAAACAAATCTGCTTCTTCATCTTCTTCAAGTTCGTCATCACTGCGAGAAAATCAAGTAAGAAAAATGAAGCTATTATAAACTTAAGTAATAACTGAATGAAGAAGCTTCAWTGTTTTTTATTTGGAATATATGTTAAGTTTGAATCACAAGGTTAAAAAAATCTGGTCGAAAAAACTAACCTTGCAAACATKGGTGGGGGTTCAAACAGGTCTTCTGTGTCGTCTTCGTCAAAAAGACCTGGGGGCCGTATAACATCGTCTTCAGGAAACACTTCCTCTGCTGATAAACAAGCATTAAAGTTTATCTGTGACCGAAGTTCCATATCCTCGTAATTCTATTCGTTAAATTTAATTAAAACCCTCAATGCCATGTCTCTGACGCGCAAGATTTCAAACTCAACTAGAGAAATAAGTAAGCTTAAGCTTACTGATTTCTTTGTAATGATTTCAAAACTGACTTCTTTTCTCTATTGCAAGMAGAAGTATAAATACCAAATTATACACATGCCAGTATTCTGGGACTAAGACAGTGTCTTAGAGTATTTGGTATTTTGAATTTTCAAAAATTTGGTTCAAGGATTTCACCACATAAGCTTAAGTTATTTCAATTTCTAAAAGTTGTAAGAGTAGCAGCAAACCCTTATTTGCATTCAAAATAAAAACAAAGCCAGTAGAGCCAAAAGAGAAAGCTATAATATGTGCACYAATTGGATRAATCAGCATGGTGCTAGTTACTGACTGGTGTCCTGAGAGTGAATAAATGAATCWTACTAAAACTTGACATCAAATATTAAACAATTATTGGATGAGGCTTTTGTGATATCCAAAATAATCTAGGTACAAACAAGTGAAGCCAAAGATTACACTTTTTGAGACCTTGATTATTTGGATATCTCAAAAACTGAATTCAATAACTATCTACTAGTTAATACATTATAAGTAATGTCAAATTGCAATTCTAAAATAGAAAGCTGCAAAGACAATGTTCTTTGGCATCTTTGGTCAGCAATGTATTGCAGGCACAATCTATTGAAAAGGTTATTGGCTAGCCATCATGGGGGTGATGCTTACAGCAAAAWTWGTTGCAYCGCAACTTCKTCATTTYKAAGTTTGTTTTGATTTTCTTTCCCTCAATCTAARGGGCAGAGCTTTTTGTAAACTCGTTCAGACATTGGCTGATTTGCAGCAAACCCCATCCCAAAATWGCAGAAAAACCTTAATCCTAATGATTTCTTTTGAACATTGAAGTCACAATGCAACGGTTTCTTCTGTAATATTCTATAATAATGATGTATACTGTATCATGGGCTATTTAGGGCTCTCATGTACACTGCACTACTATATTCTTTTGAATTCATTGGACAAGTCGCTAGTAATAAATTTGTCTCCATACTGATTTGGCAAATAAAATCTCATATATAAAGGTGTCCTCAGACCCTTGGAACCCTAGTTACAGCTTTCATATACTACTGTAGAGTTTACCTCAAAAATAATAATTATCATATTGAAGCATGGAAAATGTATGATCAAAAGTATCATATGTTATAATTAAAAGTAATTTATAACATACCATTTGTTGAATGTGCATCCCCATTTTCAGTTTCATAATTCTTGTCAACTTGTTCATCACTTTTAGACTTTTTGCTTTCAATTTGATTTTCTACTTTGAATGTATCATCACCCTCGTCATCATAAGACTCATCGGCTGTGTCTTCATCTATATCCCACACAGGTGGTACATACAACTCATTACTAGAGTTCAAAGCATGATGGTATTGACCAGGTATTTCACCAGGACTATATAAACTCATGTCATGAGTATCTGTCACACTACCAAGAGAATCATTAAATGTTGTGTGTTCTTGATTAGATTYAAAGGAATGCTCTAGTGTATCATCAATATTGATAATATCTGTGCTATTGTGAATATTATCAGGTGATCTATTTCTGGCACTATCCAATTTATGCAAATCTTGTATATTGTTATGATGGGAATGAAATTCATTGACTTCATCATCATCAATTTCATCATCACCGTCATGATGGGCATCATCGTATTTAGTTCTATAATCATCATCATCTGAATATTGTGATCCACTCTCAATAACATCACTAACTTCGTCATCATCTCCATCATCATCATCATCAGAGAATAATTTTGATAGACTTTGTTTCTGTTTGATGTCATCATTGTCAACAAGGTCCATCTGTACATCAGGTATTGAATTGTGGCTATTTTTTGACTGTTTAGCATCACGTAGTGAGCTCTCTGCTTTTATCAATTCTTGGTTGTCACTGTGGTTGTTCCTGAGATAATTTTCTTCCAATTTTACCTTATCCTCTTGTATTCGTGTATCTATCATTTCAACTTGSTGCTCATCTGTTTTGTGATTTCTTTTCAAAAATTTGTCAAACATTGTACCACTTTTTAAAGTTGATTCAGAAAAGCTGGAGTTCAAGGGACCTGTCCTTAATCCCCAGTCTACTTCTTTTCTGAATTTATTTGATCCTGAAGACTGTCTCTCAAAACTACTTGCTGGAGAAGTTCTATTCATAGACGGATTATCATCTTTGCCAAATGCATCATTTGATTCCACATTTTCTATTGAGACTGGCTTGAATCGTCGACGGCGAGCTGAAGACTGATTAGATAAACCACTAGACCCCATGAAAGAAGACATACTAGGGTTCTTGCTGGTAGAAAAAGTGTTAGTTTCTGGTTTACTATTACCTGTAGGAGCAGCAGCTATATCCATTTTTAAAATATTGTCATTACTTGACGATAAACTTGGGAATAATTTTTTTGAAGTAGTCGTATTTGTATCCAATGGCATATTTTTGATGTTTTCACTGTCAGACCTGAGGCTAGGAAATAATTTAGATGAGTGATCATTATTACTTTGTGTTGAATCACTATCTGATGGACGACTGTTTATTGTAGGTGACTTGTACTCKGAATTAGATTCATCAGAATCCATGTAATCTGCAATTAACATGTCTCCTAAATCCTCATCAGAAATACAGTCATCTTGTGACATTTCTGAATCCATATTGTTATCGACAAAATGCGATGAATCGTTTAACGTAAACACGTCGGTTAGATGTTGATTGTTAGCTCCAGCATGATTCCAATTCTTAACGACTGTTTGTTTTTGTTCATCTTTGTGTTGTGAAATATGTTTGTTTGTAGAGCTTCTACTACTTCTCCCCAATCCAGGAGATTGTTTACCTTCAGTATTCGTCAACTCCGAGTCGTGTTTTAGCCCAGAATAATATTCAAATTCATCGTGACTCGAGTCCGGACTCCGAGACCGTTCTCTCTTAGTTTGGTTCGCAGGCCGTCGAGCTGGACTTTTTGGCCGTGATTTCGTCAAATGTATCAARCCACCATCCTTTGGGGGCAGAAAGTCTCCTCTTTCATCCATAAGGTACGATGATTCATCATTCTTTGTGGTTGAGGAAGTTTCCAAGRTGCTTCGTGTTGCTATTTCAACCGATTTTATCTCGGCTTCGGTTCGCGAAGCAGTGACCCGACCGACCGAATAAGGTCGATGTTTATCGGTTAGTCCTGGCAAAGCGAATGCCCCTGGGAGTGCATACCGTTTAGACATTTCTACCTTGACAAAGAATGCAACTCATGGTTATACATGACGTTCGTATTACAAAGGAATTGATCTCAAAAACTCTAAGCTGATTTGATTTTAGTGACGCAAGAGATACATATCATCGAAAAAATTATTATTTATTTATCACGCGGAATTGCGTGACAGCTTTGGAAATCAGTTTGGGTTCCCTGTGGTTGCTATGCTCCTTGAAAGCCAGAGAAAAACCACGGACGGAGATGGCAATGTTCGCTGAGTTTGTGCTTCTAAAAGAGCTATCTAGTAGCAGGGAACGTTTTGAGAATATCAAATAATTTTATTCAGGTTCTCGAACATTGCCTTTGGGAACATTGCCTTTGGGAACATTGCCTTTGGGAAGAAGCAGATGAAGGTACAGCGTAGAGCCCAAGAAAGTTTTCATTACAAAACCATTATGAAAATGTGGGAATCAAGTAGAATAATGGAGAGGTCGTATTTTGAGGCTTTCCCAAGGTTATGCTGTAGGAGGATAGCGAAAATTACAGGGGAACAGCTCAGCCACTTTCACAAAATTTATAACTCCAGAAAAAGACATCGACCATCGTGCTTAAAAAGATGTGGTCCAATAATGTGTGCTGGCTGTCAATCATCAACAAATGTCTGTCGATTGAGCTGTATCCGCATCACCTGAAAGTTCTTTGTGCTGACAGAAGCTAATATTTTGTGAACATTACATTTCACTAGTAAAGGCTGCAACTATGAATTTAGACGTATACTAACAATGATGAACTGCTGATTCCACTAAAAAGAGGAACGGATACTCTCATACACCCTGAGATGTTTCACTATTAACACTTTAATTAAACTGTTAATTATCCTTGAACTGTCACAGTACAATAGTCTTCTTCACTGTTCCCTGCGCCATCTTGAAAGGTAGCCGTGCCTTTACATCGCAGCAAGACAACCTTTGAGCGTGCAATGATAGATTATATCTGTGAATAATGAATTGTCTGTAAGTATGAAAGAAGATTTCTATCATTGCACGCTCAACGGTCGCCTCGCTTTGATGCAAAGGCACAACTRCCTTTCAAGATTGCGCAGTGAACTGTGAAGAAGACTATTTAAAGTTTAGTTGTTTCGATTTCATCATGTTGTTTTCGCCCATTTTCATCGTGCTTCTCTCGTTCCATTTTGCTGCGGTGTTTTCCACAACAAGGCACGCTGTAGTCTAACCGAGCCTCTTCTGTAGCTTCAATGGTCTGTTCCATGTTAGCAAATAACGTTTCTGGTAAAAGTAACGCGCTGAGAGCTGATGTAATACCCAACAATCCAAATATACAGAATGGTACGATCAGGGAAACRCCAGGAAGTTGAGCCTGGGAAAAAGGAGTAATGGCAGAATTAATAAACAAATTTCAGCTGAGTTGCATACAAKTCATTGAGGCGCCAATAAAAAGATGAGCTGTTTTACAATAGCTTACCATCATAACAAAGAATGGAGATAATATGGCGCCAATCCGAGCTGAGCAATTTGTAAAACCAAGTGATAGATTCCTTCAAAATAGRAAATGTTAAGTSAATACATTTATGGTTTTATGATGATAACGTGATAGATTCTTGCTCAGGTTAGTTACCTGACAACGGTTGGAAACAGCTCTGACGTCCACATCTCGATGAGGGTGAACTGACATCCCATCACAGCTTTGCCTATCATTGCTAATGCCGTCCTTACCTCAGGCACATCTAAATAAAAGCAATCAATACTCCAAGTGGTCATTGTTGCTTAGTCTATTCCTCAATGTTGTAAAACCGCGAAAATCAACGATTTATCCTGTGTTATTAACTAGTTTTTTATGTCATGCATTTCAACAAGCTATTGTTGTGTTACTATATAAAACAACACATTGCACAACTTTGAAGCCTGAATAACAAAACTCCACTGAAAAACCTTTTRTAGCAGTCAGGCGGTCATCCTACATTTGGCTCTCATTTTGTCTGTCTGTCTGTGATCTGGAGTCATTCGTAGTTTTGTCTGCCGCAGACGGCCGTTGATTATTATATTTTTTCTTAGCTCTGGTACTTGCATTGACTCTGAATTAAGTCTAAATCCTTTAGTCAGGATAAAGGAGATTTTCCTTTTAGMTGATATATTTTCCTTTTTCGTCTGATAATAAAAGTTTATACCTTTGGGAATAAATGGTAGYATTGTAAGAGCGACTGCAGCCAAGCACATAWAACCAGTGAAGGAAAAACGACGGCCGAAACTGAAAAAGCAAGGCATAGWCAGTTCCACTTACTTTTTAGAGTATGACGGGAGCTGTCCGTCACAACTACTATTAMAATAATTTCTGTCTTCGTTATACCTGGGTGKTGGCGAACCCAACTTACCGAGYTGCTAAGACCCACATGAAAAGAWTTRCAGGAATATCAGAAAGATTCGTGATGAGTACGTTGATGAAAATATCGCCGTAGAGCGTTGTCACAAACAAGAACATAGCATTGAACAATAAAGC